ATTTTTTTTTCATTTTTCCCACTTTTTTTGGGGGGTGTTTCCGTTTGTTGGGTGGGGGAGTTCCCACTTTTTTGGGTTTTTTTTTTTCCTACTTTTGGGGGGTGATTCCATTTTTTCGGGGGTATTTCCACTTTTTTGGGGTTTTTTTCCCACATTTTGGGGATTTTTGCCACTTTTGGGGGGATTTTTCCCACTTTTTTAGGGATTTTCCCATTTCTTGGGAAAGTGTTTCCGTCCCGAGAATTTCGAGGTTGGTCTCGGGAATTTGGGGAGGGGTCCCGGGAGTTCCTGGGAATTTGGGGAGGGGTCCCGGGGGTTCCCGGGAATTCGGGGAGGGGTCCCGGGAGTTCCCGGGAATTTGGGGAGGGGTCCCGTGGGTTCCCGGGAATTTGGGGAGGGGTCTCGGGAATTCGGGGAGGGGTCCCGGGGATTCCCGGGAATTCGGGGAGGGGTCCCGGGGATTCCCGGGAATTCGGGGAGGGGTCCCAGGGATTCCCGGGAATTCGGGGCGGGGTCCCGGGAATTCGGGGAGGGGTCCCGGGGGTTCCCGGTCCCGGGGATCCTCCCCGGTTTTGGGTTCTGGGTCTGGGGGGGGTCCCGGTAATTTTGGGGGGGGTCCGGGGGTCTCTCCGTGTCCCCCTCCCCCTCCTCCCGCCGGTCACGTGTCTCGAGCAGCGGCTCCGCCCCTCTGCCACGTGACCCGGGCAGGCCCCGCCCCCTCACGTGTCCCAGCACCGGCCCCGCGCCCGCACGTGGCGTACAGTGGTCACGTGACACGAACCGGGAGCTCTCATTGGACGCTGGAGCTGTCGGTCAAACTCAAGGGGCGGGGCGTGGGTGGGGCTTGGGGATTGGCCCCCAGAACCGGGACCGGAGACCCCGAACGGAACCGGGACCGGAAACCCTGAGCGGGACCCCCTGAACGGCACCGGAGCCCGGGATCGGGACCCGAACCAGAACCCCCTGAACGGCACCGGAGCCCCCGACCGGGACCGGGACCCGAACCCTCTGATCGGCACCGGAGCCCGGGATCGGGACCCGAACCAGAACCCCCTGAACGGCACCGGAGCCCCCGACCGGGAGCCGAACCAGAACCCCCTGAACGGCACCGGAGCCACCGACTGGGATCGGTACCCTCGATCGGGACCGGAGCTCCCGAACCGGACAGAAACCAGAACCCCCTGACCGGGATCGGGACCAGAACCCCCTGATCGGCACCGGAGCCCCCGAACGGGACTGGGACCAGCACCGGAACCCCCTGACCGGGACCGACACCGGAGATCCACGGATCGGAGCCCCTGAACGGGACCAGAACCTTGGGACCGGATCCTCCTGACCGAGACCGGAGCCCCGGGATCGGAACCCCCTGTCCGGTACCGGCCCCGGTGGGACCCCGCGCTCCGCTCCCGGATCGGGCCCGGCCACCCCCGCCCACAGCGGTACCGGAGCCAGGCAGGTACGGGGGGAGGGGACAGGTGACACTGGGGGGACACGGGGGGGTTTGGGGACAGGTGACACTGGGAGGACAAGGGGACATTGGGGGCACAAAGAGACTCGGGGGGGTTTGGGGACAAGCGACACTGGGGGGGACAGGTGACACTGGGAGGGGCACAGGGGACAGGAGGGGATTTGGGGACAGGTGACACTGGGGGGGGACAGGGGGGATTTGGGGACAAGCGATATTGGGAGAACACGGGGGGATAGGGGGAGGATTTGGGGACAGGTGACCCTGGGGGGGCACAGGTGACACGGGGGGGGCACAGGTGACACGGGGGGGCACAGGTGACATGGGTGGCCATGCCCTCCCCGCTGTCCCTGTCCCCAGCCCCCCCCCGGGTCCCGCTGTCCCCTCAGGCGGGGCCGCCCCGATGCCGCACGAGCCGGGGGTGGCCCTGGGGTCCCCCCTGTGCCAGCCCCCCCCGGGGACCCCCCAAAAAGGGGCGCAGCCCCCCCCGGGCAGCGACTCCGAGCAGGATTCGGGATTTTCAGGTAGGCGGGGACGGGGCCCGGTCCCGTCCCTTGTCCCGGTCCCTTGTCTCAGTCCCATCCCGGGGGTCCCAGTCCCTTTTCCCGGGGGTCCCGACCCTCTTCCCGGGGGTCCCGGGTCTCTCGTCCCGGGCTCATTCCCGCCCCGGCAGATTCGGGCTCGGAGCACCTGGGCAGGTGCGAGGGGACGGACACGGAGGAGCCGCCCGGGCCCGGCCGCGCCCACCTGGGGCCGCAGGTAACCGGGATCGGTACCGGGATGGGCCGGATCCGTGAGGATCTGGTACCGGGATGTCCCAAACCCCGACGGTTCCGGTACCGGGATGTCCCAAATCCCGACGGTTCCGGTACCGGGATGTCCCAAATCCCGACGGTTCCGGTACCGGGATGCTCCGTGGTTCTGTCCCCGGTCCCTTTTGTCCCCTCCTGACCCCCCCGTCCCTCCCGCAGCCCCCGGGATCCGCTCGGGACCCGCGGCCGCTCCTGGTTCTGCTCCGCTCTGCACCCGCCGCTGTCCCCGGTCCGGAGGGGACCCGCCCGTGCCACCCCCCGGTGCCACCGGCGGAGCTGTCCCCGTGTCCCCGCGAGTCCTCGGTGCCACCGGGGGAGCTGTCCCCGTGTCCCCGCGGGTCCCCGGTGTCACCGGGGGAGCTGTCCCCGTGTCCCCGCGAGTCCCCGGTGCCACCGGCGGAGCTGTCCCCGTGTCCCCGCGGGTCCCTGGTGCCACCGGCGGAGCTGTCCCCGTGTCCCCGTGGGTCACCGGAGCTGTCCCCGTGTCCCCGCGGGTCCCCGCTGCTCCGCCCTGCGCCCGCCGCTGTCCCCGTCCCCGAGGGGACCCTCCCGTGCCACCACCCGGTGTCACCGGGGGTCCCCGCGGAGCTGTCGCCGTGTCCCCGCGGCTCCCCGCGGTTCGCCGGGGCGCTGCTGGCGGCGCTGGCGCTGCGCACCGGGGCCCTGCTCCGCCACAACCGGCGCACGCAGAGCGACATCGCGACACTGCGGCGCCACACGCGGCTGCTGGCCCGGGCCACCCGCGACCCCCGCCTGTGGCCCCGCCTGTGTCACCTGCTGGCCCCCGCGGGACCCTCCGGGAGTCACCGGGAGCCCCCCGGGTTTGGGGAGGGGGCGGGAGGGGAATAAAGGGGTGGCACCGATGTGGCTCCGAGTGTTTGGTTTGGTGGCTTTTGGGGACTTCGGTGGCTCCTTGTCCCCTCCCTCTGGTGGCCTCTTGGACCCCTCCTTGTCCCCACCCCGGTGGCCTCCAGGGTCCCCCTTTGTCCCCTCCTCGCCCCCCGTGTCCCCCTCGTGTTCCCGGGGTCCCTCTCGCTGCCACATCCCGGACCGGGGGGGGTTTGGGACCCTCGGGGACCCCCGGGCTGTCATTGTCACACGGGGGGGGTTTGGGACCCTCGGGGACCCCCGGGCTGTCATTGTCACACGGGAGGGGTTTGGGACCCTCGGGGACCCCCGGGCTGTCATTGTCACACGGGGGGGGTTTGGGACCCCCGGGGACCCCCGGGCTGTCATTGTCACACGGGGGGGGGGGGTTTGGGACCCCCAGGTTGTCATTGTCACCCAGAGGGGGCGTGGTCTTTGCGCTATAGCCCCGCCCACCAGCGCGCGGCGGTCCCGCCCCTTCTTATTGGCGGGAAAGGGGGCGCGCGGCCGTTGTTTGATTGACAGCTCAGCGGTCCAATCGTGAGCGAGGGAGGAGGCCACGCCCCTTCCGCGGTACCGGAGCGCGCGCGGCGGCTCCGGGACCCCAGAACCGACCCCGGGACCCCAGAACCGACCCCGGGACCCCAGAACCGACCCCGGGACCCCCGGGACTTCCCGGAACCGACCCCGGATCCCCCCGAACCCCGCCATGGACCCGGAGCCGGACCCGAATCCCGGAGCCGCCACCGAGCCGGTACCGGCAGCGGCAGCGGGGGGGAAGCGGCGCCGATTCACGCTTCGACAGGAGAGTCCCGAGGATCCCCCGGTACCGGCGGTGACGGGGGGGGACCGGGAGCACGGAGGGGGGGTGACCCCGGTGTCCCCATGGTGACCGGAGGGGTCCCGGTGTCCCCGGGGGTGTCCTGGTGTCCCCACGGTGACCGGAGGGGTCCCGGTGTCCCCGGGGGTGTCCTGGTGTCCCCATGGTGACCGGAGGGGTCCCGGTGTCCCCGGGGATGTCCCGGTGTCCCCACGGTGACCGGAGGGGTCCCGGTGCCCCCGCCAGGTCCCGTCGCTGTTCAGAGCCTCCGCCGCGACTCCCCCGGTATCGGTCCCGGTGCCGGTTCCGATCCCGCCCGGTTCCGGTTCTTACGCTGAGTTCGTGGTGCGGGGCTCGGGGGGCACCGGGAAGGCCCCACCGGGACCCCTCCGGAGCCACGGGGAGCGGGACCGGGACCGGGACCAGAACCAGGATCGGGACCAGAACCGGGATCGGGAACAGAACCGGGATCAGGACCGGGATCAGGGTCAGAACCAGAACCGGGATCAGAACCGAGATCAGGACCAGAACCGGGAGGTGCCGGCCCTGCCCGTGCTCAAACCGGGCACCAAGAGCAGCAGCATCATCGTCAGCCCGCGCCAGGTGGGCGGGGCCATATCGCGACATGGGGGGGGTTGTCCCCCGATATGGCGGGGTTGGGGCTCATATCGCGACATTGGGGGGGGGGTTCTGTCCCCCGATATCGCGGGGTTGTGGCTCATATCGCGACATGGGGTGGGTTCTGTCCCCCGATATGGCGGGGTTGGGGCTCATATCGCGACATTGGGGGGGAGGTTCTGTCCCCCAATATCGCGATATTGGTGCTCATGTCGCGACACGGGCCCGTCCCCAGCGCGGCAATCCGGTGCTGAAGTTCATCCGCAACGTCCCGTGGGAATTTGGGGACATCGTCCCCGACTACGTCCTGGGCCAGAGCAGCTGCGCCCTCTTCCTCAGGTGAGCCCAGGTGTGTCCCAGGTGTGCCAGGTTTCCCCTCGCTGTCCCTCTTCCTCAGGTGAGCGGGGTCCCCAGGTGTGCCAGGTGTACCCAGGTGTGCTGAGTGTCCCCCCAGGTGTCCCAGATGTCCCCTGAGTGCGCACAGGTGTCCCCTCAGGTGTCCCCAGGTGTCACTGGGTACTCCCAGGTGTCCCTGAGTTTCCCAGGTGTACCCAGGTGTCCCCTCAGGTGCTCCCTGGTGTCCCCTCAGGTGTCCCCAGGTGTCCCTGAGTGTCCCTGTCCCCCCCAGTCTCAGGTATCATCACCTGAACCCCGATTACATCCACGAGCGGCTCCGGGTGCTGGGGCGGAGCTTCGGCCTGCAGGTGCTGCTGCTGCAGGTGGACGTGGTGAGGTGTCACTGTCATTGTCACCTTGGCATTGTCACCTTGTCACTGTCACTCTGTGTCCCCTCCCTGTCATTGTCACTTTGTGTTCCTCCACCCCTGTCCCCTCCCTGTGCTCATCCAGGTGGGCGTGGGTGAGGTGGCCTTGTCATTGTGTCACTGTCACTGCTTGTCCCCTCACCTGTCCCTGTCCTGTGCCCCCTCATCTCTCACCTTTCTCTGTCCCCTGTCCTGTCTCACCTGTCCCTGTCCCCTCTCACCTGTCCCCTCACCTGTCCCCACAGAGGGACCCCCACCGGGCTCTCAAGGACCTGGCCAAGGTGTGTCTCCTCACTGACTGCACGCTGCTGCTGGCCTGGAGGTACGGCCTGTCCCCGTGTCCCCGTGTCCCCTGCTGCCACCCCACTGTCCCCAAACGTCCCCAAACGTCCCCAAACGTCCCCACAGTGCGGAGGAGGCCGGCAGGTACCTGGAGACCTTCAAATCCTACGAGCAGAAACCCCCGGACCTGCTCAAGGAGCGCGTGGAGCAGGACTTCCTGTCCCGGGTCAGTGTCCCCGAGTGTCCCCGAGTGTCCCCAAGTGTCCCCTGACCCCCCCAGGTGTCCCCAGGTGTCCCCTGACCCTCCCCACAGGTGACAGACTGCCTGACCAGCGTCAAATCCGTCAACAAAACCGACGCCCTGAGCCTGCTGGGCACCTTTGGGGTGAGTGACACTTGGGGACGTGCCACCCCCGGGGTGTCCCCACTCTGTGACCTCCCCCCCCGGAGCTTTGTCACCTCCGTGTCCCCTCCCCGCAGTCGCTGGCGGCCGTGGCGGGCGCGTCCCGTGAGGATTTGTCCCTTTGTCCCGGCGTGGGACCCCAAAAGGTGAGTGGCACAGGAAAGGGACGGAGCTGGGGACATTTGGGGACATCCGGGGACACCCCGGTGTCCTCTCTTGTCCCTCTGTCCCCAACCAGGCCAAGCGACTCTTTGATGTCCTGCACGAGCCTTTCCTCAAGACCCCCCGATGAGCCCCAAAATCCCCCCAAAAACCAGGCCAAGCGACTCTTTGATGTCCTGCACGAGCCTTTCCTCAAGACCCCCCGATGAGCCCCAAAATCCCCCCAAAATCCCCCCAAAATCCCCCCAAATCCCGGTTTTTGGCAATAAATGACGTTTAGTGGTGACAAAGGTGACACAGGTGACACTCGGGGTCACTCCTGCTCCTCCCGTTTGTGCTTCTTCTTCTTCTTCTTCTTCCTCTTGGCCACCTCGGGTTCCTCGGGGGCCACCAAGGTGTCCTGGGGGGGTCCCGGCCCCTCTCCGGGCTCTGTCCCCGCGGGTGGCACTGTCCCCTCCGATGTCACCGTGTCCCCAGGTGCCACCAGCTCCGCTGTCACCTTCGTCTTCTTCCTCTTCCTCGCCACGGGGGGGGGCTCCGGGGGGGTCCCGAAGCTCTGGGTGATGGTCAGGGACCCCCGCAGGGGGGGGGCACAGCCCAGGGACCCCTCGGGGGACACAGGGGACAGCAGGAGGGGACAGTCCCCTCCCCCCGGGCCACCCCGCAGGACGTAGAGCTTGGTGTCCTTGTCACTGTCGCCACCGTTGTCATTGTCGCCGGCCGGGGGGGTCCGGAGCCGCTCGAGGCCGTTCAGGGGCACGGGGCAGCCCTCGAGGCTGGGGGGGGACGGGACATTGTCATTGTCACCGTCTGGGGACACTGGGAC